ATATCTATTGGAGGTTATAATTTTTTTGCTCTTTTATCCATAAGTTTCAAATTATCAGTACTTAATTTTCCATCTTCTATCCAAAATCGCATAACAATCTATTTTGCAATTCTCAAAAATAAACAATATATTGAGTCTACAATTACATATTTGATTGGGTTAAAATAAAAAAAACGGTAGAGTTCTGACCATCTCACCAAGTTTTCAGAAAGGTGTTTCTTTCTTTGATCCTCAGTATTGCACAGTTTCCATGCATATGTATCTTTTTTAATTTTCTTAATATTACGCTCTACAAACTAGTTATGTAGAAAAAACCTTGTTTCTTATACTTGTTTTTAAATACTATATCCAAAAATCTACCAAAATTAGGTTGATATCTAGCATCAAACTATGCATGTTTTTCATATTGAAAATATATAATTCTTGCTAATATTTGTCTACATAACTTTTTGGCTGCTAGAATATCACATGAGTAGTATATAATAGCACATTTAATTTTTTGTTCTTAGAAGATTTATTTGTAGAAATTTCTACTCTATTTCACAATTCAAGCAATTGATCAATCAAAACTTTCTTGGGTTCTGGTAATAATGCTAAGATAATTATATTTTGAGATTTGAATCTGAGTTCACAGTGCAAATTACAAATAACTATATATATTATATTAGTAGAATATACAGAATTTTTGAAGAGACTAAACCAGTCCAGATTAATCATAAGGCCAAAATATGTATCAGCATGTTCTAATATAAAGAAATTTTCATCTTAATTTTTAGAATTCTTCTATATATTACTATTATAAATATTAGCAAGGTAATTATCATTTATATTTCTATTAACATATTTTCTATATAATTTCTCAAATCTGTTTTGGCTATATAATAACATGAGCTGATCTTTAATATTTATTGTTGAATAAATAAGCAAAGGATGAAACAATATTCTATCCTTTGTAGATATCTCTTTTGCCAATTGTTGATTATAAGGTTGTCTCATTTAGACATTGTGTGATTAGGAATTTTACAAAAGTATAATATAAATATATCAAAATTTGTCCAAACTTTTTTGTTGTTACCTTACTAGATTTATACAACTTATTATATACTAAACAAGTTGTATAATTATTTATGTATAAACTAAACCTATTAATTTTCTGACTAAATAGAGTGATTTAGAAAAGTTTTTAAACTGATCCTAATTAAGATATGTCAATAGATAATAAATAAATTTAACTAATGATTCTGTTGCTGTATCAAGTAACCAATATCTTTATTGATATCTTAGAATCCAGATTAATATCTAATCAAAGCTATTGTCAAGATTATTAATATATTCGAATTCTTCTTTATCTCTATTTTCAATATCGGGAGTAGTATAATCTATTATAGTTTTCTTATCATCACTTTTAGACTTTATTTTTGCAAATTCTTTATTATTATTAGAGATATTTAAAGTCTCAAAAACTATAGCAATATCAGGTTTTTCTAATTTTAGCTTTCACTTTTTTTCTATTATTTTTAGCTACAAAAAATGATTCTTCTTGAAGAAATGATTCTTCGTAAAGACTAAGATCAATTAAAGTAGAAAAAGGAATATTAGTTTAAGATATATCACTGCCTTCTATTTGAGAATCTGTAGAAGAAGAGAAATCATCTTCAGGTTCAGCAGAATCTATTAATTCTTCATATATTTCATATTTTGCAATATAGGTATTTCTTGTTTGAAGATGGAAAATTAAGTACTGATAATTTGAAACTTATGGATAAAAGAGCAAAAAAATTATAACCTCCAATAGATAT